GTATTGGCTTCGCATATTGCGTCTCCATCTTCCTCTTCTTCCCAACTGATCGGATCACCTTCAAATTCTCAAAACGAGATTGCTGATGCAGAACAAGAGAAACAAGCTGTGGACGACCGGGAATGGGGTGCGATTTTAAGGAATCCTAGACGATCATGCTCTTCAGCTTGACCATGTTAATTTTCTGGAGTTTTGCTGTTTTACCAGGGTAGGGCCGACTACTCACACCAGGTGGGTCCCATGCGGGACCAACCTGTATAAAAAAATACCCAAAAAATACTCAACCGCCCCCGTCGTGAGTAGTCGATAGGAACCCCTACCCTGACACCCCCAACAAGACTCAATTTTCTGTTGTTTTGTGGCTTTGTAAACAATCCCCACGTCGAATACTATTCGTTTTGGTTGTCCTGCATGAACTAGGTTTATATTTGTTTTCAACTTTTCGATTTTACAGTCTGATTGAGTCGATAGGCCAGGACTTTCTACTGAGTTTCGTAGAAACTGATCACATCAGATTTATGTTAATTTAACTGTTTGTATCCCCTAGGCAAATGCAAATTTGGATGGTCAAATCATTACTTGAGGGGAATAAGGCACGCAATTAGCAACATTAACAAGTCACAAATTGACAACATAAATAAGTCACAAATTGACATGGTAATTTAATGAAGTAAAATCCCAAAGGAAGACATTCTATGGACCTCCTACAAAAATTCTTTAAGAAAACGGTTTATTCAAATATGAAATTCAGTCTTAGAAATAAGCCTCTCCTATCCTGTTGCCTTGGAAATAATATTTCATACTGAATTTTTTTATTGCTTTTGCTGTCAAATTGTCCGTGCTGGATTAATTGTATTCTGCGCTGGAGCGATGAATCTATTTGAAGTGGCTCATTTCATACTAGAGAAGCCTATGTATGAAAGAGGATTAATTTTACTTTTCTTGGCTCCCTAAAATGCCACCCTATTAGGAACTCGCACATAAATCATCTTCATTTCCATCAGTAATTCAGAGAATTCGCTAATACAATTCTATGCACTCCCTACTTCTGGCTAATAGCAGCGTGTTTTTAAGGAGACGAGACCAAATTCCTTTAGAGGTGGCAGTAATTCTCATCCTCAACTTGTCCCACTACA